CCTCCTCCTCCTCCCTCTCCTCCTCCGCCTCTTCCTCGTCCTCCTCCTCCCCCGCCTCCTCATCCTCCTCCTCCTCCTCCTCCTCGTCCTCCTCCTCCTCCTTCTCGTCGCCCTCCTGCCCGCCCCTGACCCATTCTGACTCGTTTCTCGAAGGGGATCTGGCCGTGGCGACGAGAAGCTCCCAAGAGGCCCAACTAGGACGAGAAACGTCGGGGAGGGCCGCCGTTGTTTTGAACGGCGGTCTTCGTCCGACTTCCTCGTCGTCTGGATTTCGGATCAGAACTCGGGTCTCTGGCGACCGTTCTAGACGATCCGGGCCCTCCCAGAACGCTTTCGGAGAGGCGCAGCTGCTGGAAAACATTCCGACGCTGAAACGATCATCGAGAACCAACGAACACGTCCAGAAACCTCGAACCTCGAACGTTGGGAGGGCGGTCCTCGTCCAGCCCCGTCCTCGTCACCGTGCGCGTCGGGCAATCGCTGGGCGCGCTGCCCAACGACACCATGCTGGGGGGCTGCTCTAAGCGCGTCACCTGGGTGCGGAGCGCTGGCGGGGCCGTCGCCGCCGCCGCTGCCGCCGCCATCGTCGCCACCAACGGTGTCGTCATCGTCGTCGTCGTCGTCGCGCCGTTGCGTCGTTGTCGTCGTCGGATAGGAGGAGAAGGGAGAGGACAATGAGGAGGTTTATCCCAGTGCGACCCTACATAGGAGTTGGAGCCCCTAGGAAAGCAGCATTAGTACGAACAGTAAAGATAAAGCTAAGCTAAAGCTAAATTAAAACTAAACTAAAGCTAAGCTAACGCTAAGCTAAAACTGAGCTAAGCTAAGCTCAAGGTAAGCTAAAGCTAAGCTGAAGCTAAGCTAAAGCTGAGCTAAAGCTAAGCTAAGGCTAAGCTAAGGCTAAGCTAAGGCTAAGCTAAGGCTAAGCTACCGCTAAGCTAAACCTGAGCTAGAGCTAAGGTGCATATAAGCTAAAGCTAAGCTGAAGCTAAGCTAAACCTGAACGAAAGCTACGGTAAAAAAGGCTAAGCTAAAGCTCAGCTAAAGCTAAGCTAAAGCTAAGCTGAAGCTACGGTAAAGGCTAAGCTAAAGCTAAGCTAAAACTAAGCTGAAGCTAAGCTAAAGCTAAGCTACAGCTGAGGTGCAGCTAAGCTACAGCCAAACTAAAGCTAACGCTAAAGCTAAGCTAGAGCTAAGGTGCTACAGCTAAGGTGCAGCTTAGCTAAAGCTAAGCTAAAGCTAAGCTGACGCTAAGCTGAAGCTAAGCTAAAGCTAAGCTGAAGCTAAGCTAAAGTTAAGCTAAAGCTAAAGCTAAAGCTAAGCTCAAGCTACAGCTAAATCTAAGGTGCCGCTAAGCTAAAGCCAAGCTAAAGCTAAGCTAAAGCTAAGCTACAGCTAAGCTGAAGCTAAGCTAAAGCTAAGCTGAAGCTAAGCTAAAGCTAAGCTAAAGCTAAGCTGAAGCTAAACTAAAGCTAAGCTACAGCTAAAGCTAAAGCTAAAGCTAAAGCTCTCAGGGGACTGGGGGAACCGCGGGGCGGGGACTGGGGGAACCGCCCGGGGCGGTTTACACTGCCCGGCCCTTTAAGCTAAGAGAGTAAAAACCCTTCTAGGCAGAGCCTATGTAGGGAAAAAAACGTCGTCGCCGTCGTCGTCGGAAGAGGACGAACCTCCTCCTACTCCTGTTCCAATTTTTGTTCGGTTGATGGGGATTTGGAAGGTTTTCCTCGTCGCCGCGGCTGGGCGCGGCTCAAAAACCAGGCCAAGATTGTCAAACACATGCATGAGTCGGGTATGCGAATGATACTGGTGACGACATTGGCGGCGACGGCGGTGATGGTGGTTGTTGCGATGATGACGAGGGCGGCAACGAAAACTGATGACGACGGGCATGATATAGGTGGTGAGGATGACGGCGACGTTGGCGATTGCGTTGCAGATGATGACTAGCGACGAGGATGGCGATGGTGCTGACGTGCTGATGAGGATGAGGAAGAAATGCGCGCGCAGAACAGTGGCTAGACTGTGAAGCCTGAACACAATTGGTTTCATATAAAGTGGGCGCCCTTAACTTGCACCCCTGCGAAAATACGTGGTTTTTTTGCTAGGAGCCCGACATGCGCGCAACGGGACGCGCGTGTGTGGCCCACGTGGTATTCGTTGATGAAGTTGGCGGGTGCACGATGGCTGGCGTATGGTTCCGGCATGTGCACGCATCCGACTGAGAAGCCGACCGCGTGCGGTTCTTATGACCTCAGCGAATGGACGCACAGGAACCTGGCATCCCTATGCTGTTTTATCGTGGAACATATTGTGCCAACGAATGGTTTTGGGCAGATTTTGCGACGCGTGCGCGCGTGGCCCGAACGGTATGACTTGATGGGTGCGGACTCGTTGAGCGCCCACTCGTAATCACAAAACGAACGCTCCGCATGGTATCATCTGGCGGGGATGAACAAAGGGGGGTAGCAGTATGAAATCTGGAGTGGACGATCGAGCTTAACCAATATGGACAGCCAGTGCGCAGAGGGGCAGCGTCAAGTCTGGCCTCCGCAGGGGTGTAGAATGTAATGAAAAGAAAAGACGGCATGAACATGAACTTTTGGCGCTTCGCGCGGATTTCTTGGATCTGCGCTGGACCCGCCTCCCTGGCGCGCGGAGAGCGCCAGGGGCGGCGCCGGAGGCGCCGCCGGGGTGGTCCGGCGCGGATCCAAGAAATCCGCGCGGAGCGCCAACAAGTTATGTTTACGGCGTTCTTTCTTATTCTGTTAATACTATTCTCCCGCTCCGCGCAAGCGAGGGGTCGTCGGGCGGAGGCCGCGGCCGACGCGCGCGAGCGGGAAGCAGAAGGGCCGAGCGCCAGCGCCCGCGCGCGGGGCGAGCGGCGCGTGCAATGTCAGGGCGGCGACGTAGTTGGCGACGGGCGCCCACCGGGCGAACCCTCGAGGACCCTGGCAGGCGCACAGGGGCGGGGACGATGCGGCGACGAGTGGGCACGGGGCGAGACTGTGGACCCCCACCGGCCAGCGCACAAGGCGGCGACGCGGCGGCGACTTGGCGGGCACGGGGCGACAGCCCGGACGCGCAGGCCAACGCGCGTGGCGGCGACCACAATGCCGGAGGCCCTTCTGGGCGGGGTCCGAAACGTCAAGCTTGGCGGTGAAGGTGCAACGCCTCGCCGCAGCTGCCCTGGGCAATCCTCAGCCCCCCCGCCCCGTCCTGAGCCAAGGCTTCACTTCTCCTTCGCAGAGGAGGAGGAGGAGGAGGAGGAGGAGGAGGAGGAGGAGGAGGAGGAGGAGGAGGAGGAGGAGGAGGAGGAGGAGGAAGAGAAGGAGGAGGACGAGGAGGAGGAGGAGGACGAGGAGGGGGGGAGGGGGAGGAGGGCATCTGTACACCACCACCATGGGCCCTGGCATGGTGTACAGCTGCGCCCTCCTTGCCTCGGCCAGGCGGGCCTGTGTGCCGCCGTGCCTGCCCAGGATGGCCCTGGCCAAGCACGGTGGGCGGCATGCAGCCAGACATCCGCCGATATCAAGACGAAGCCAGGACAAGGACGAGTTCGAGCGAGGATTTCTGTCGCCTCCGTCATACTGAAGGGGACCACATCCCAGAAATAATCTCTAGCACCCAGAACAGTATCGAAGCGGTGTCGAACGAGTATCGCCTCCCAGGGCCCGACGCGTAAAAACCTTCAAGCTTCGGTACTTTCTTGGTGCTCGAAATTCTTTCTGGTGGCCAATGCTAAAGTAGGTTGGGAAATCATCAATGATTTGAGAATCTCTGAGATCCGGTGGCTCTCGAGGATGTATCTGGCGCCGCGGCCTCCTCGGAGCGTTGAGCGCTCTGAAAGCGTTGCGGAACGCCCTGGAGGGGACTTAACCTCGTCCTAGCCCCGTCCGCCATCCCCTGAGATCCGACGTATCGGAAAACATGCAACATCATAAACAAAAATCACACCCAGAGCCCTAGACCCCATCTTCCTGCGCCGCTTATCGAGCGGGA